TGAAACACATGTTAGCTCTCAATCTATATCAAAAGAATCTCAAGACTTTATTAGTTGGATCAGTATAAGATCTATATCACCCTAAATTATTGTATCCAATTGAATTTTATTTGACAGCCTAAATTTTGACTGTTGTGCACGACTTATCGATCCGTAATTGGAAAGTAACTAGCCTGAACAAATTTTCATCCTCTATTCAAATAATAGTAGCTTGTAAAGTGTTAATTAGATACTCCCTTAATTTTCTTTTAAAACGTTAGACGGTTTTTTTTCTAATAAAAATTGGTAAATGTTAGTAAAATCTAATTATTTTTTTTTGTCTTTTTTGGGTGGTATTTCAAAATAAATTGTTTTATGGGTAGTATTTCAAAAAGCGGATTATTTATGGGTGGATAAAATACAAATTTTCTCAATAATAATTGCCAGTTTATATCAATTACAAACTATTATCGTTTTTAATATTAATTAAAAGTTAGTTAATTTAAGGGATAGGAGAAACAAAAATTAAGCGCCTTACATACAATTAATAGGTAACAAAAAAGTTCACCTAAGATTTTTCACTAGTTTGAACTATTCTTATTATAATAGATGAGAAGTAACAGGGGAGAGAAGCCCACTACCAAATCCTAAAATGAAGTTCCATCTTAAAATCAATTGGTAATAAGAAGAGTAGTCCGCTTGGCTTAAAAATTGAAAGTTCGTGCTTTCTTTTTCAATATAGAACAATACTCACACTTGGACTTAACAATTCTATATCATAAATTCATACTTTAGGTATACACATAAGTTTAAATACTCAAATTGTTTCATACTTTGTACAAATGTATTTCATGCGCTCATGATGTTTATACTCTTCGTGTTTATTTATTAGCATATTATCCCTATTTCATACTATCCCAGTTTCAAGTGGAAGTTGTGGGGTAGAGAAAGATCAAATAGTGGTGGTGCTGATTAAGGTGGTGTTGAAGAGGCGGCCCGGGTACAATTTCTATCTCAAAAGGCACTTACTCTCTTTCTTCAATTCTTGGAATCTAAAATAACGATAGATCCCAAACTCTTTTACTCCGTAGTATTCTTGCTCTACCTTTGTCACACATTTTCTTGAACAAAAAAAAGTGATAAAGAATTAAGAGATGCTCCAACGATTAGAACTGTTGTTGTACATGATCTAGCTATATAACATAACCGAAAATTTATTACTAGGAAAAATAATATATATATATATATATATATATATATATATATATATATATATATATATATATATATATAAGCTGGACACATTAACAAAGATATAGTACATTATAATTTATAAAGTCAAAAAATAAAAATAATGATGTACTTTTGATTTTGACTAGGGATGACAATGGGTCCAGGACCCACCCAGACTCGATTAGACCCGAATCATATTTTAGGGTCTGGGTCCTAAAATTTTAGACCCAATGGATCTAGGTCCAAGTGCTCTGGGTCGGGTCTGGGTCTCAAAAGTTCAACCCAGACCCGATTCATAGACCCGAAGATATTTAAAAAAAAAAAATAAAATTAAATAAGTCATAAATTATCTAATCTAAAGAATCAGATAAAAGAAAAACCTAAAGAACCTAGTTTCAAACAATTGCTGCCACACCTCCAAGGGCTCCAAGTCAAACGACTCCTAGCTCCTACTCTCGTTAAGTCGATTGTCTTGCAATCGTACGTTTAGTAGTATTTTTTTCAATGTATTTTTTTTATGAAGTTAATTTTGATATGCACTATATAGCAAGATTGTTCAATGTATATTTATAGTCATACAAGTAATAGGATGGTTATTATATTAAAAATTAAGTGATAAAAAAAAATATAGTTACACCCATTATACTATTTAAAACCTGTTTTAGACCCGAAACCCGCTAGACCTTGTGGATCTAGGCCCACCTCTAAGCTCTAATAATGCGGGTCTGGCCTGGATCTTGTTAGACCCGACCCTGTTCTGATCTATTGCCATCCTTATTTTTGACCCTTGCAATTTTTTTTTTTTTTTTGGTTCATATGAGCCACTTAGGGCGGGGATGAGAATCGATCCCAGAATCACCTGGAACCAGGAGGAAAACTCTTACCAATTGAGCCACTTATGGCCAATTTTTATTTGATTGCACTAAATATTGTTTTTTTTTTTTTTTTTAATTCGTCACTAAACAGACATGGAATTAGAAAAAATTCGAAAAAGAGAAGGAAAAAAAGGGAAAAAAAAAAAAGAAAAATCCAAAAAGAGAGAAGCAACTGATGAATTGATGAGACTGAAAAACCGTACGTTCTGGAAGGAGATGGACCTTGACTTTTGTGATGTATACACTTCTTAACGATTTTTATACACACGGACCTTAGCTTAGCTTTCCTTATGCTGCAAGTTTCCCCTTTTACTTACATCCTTCTTAAATTAAACAATATAAATTAAACAATAAAACAAAAAAAACAACGAAAAAAAAAACCTATCAATTAATTTATTTTTCCAAATATGCCCTTAATAGTTTCTCCTTTAAATATTAATCATTATTACGTAAGCATGACGTCACCTCAACGCAATGGGAACAAATGGGAAAATCCTTTAAAAAGTAAAAATGATGGACCCTCAAAGATCATAAGAAAACGAATCAGACATTATAGTACTATTTTTAATTGAAATGATATCAGATAAGATTATATCCAAAAGAGAAATATTTTAAGTGAGTTGCACTAATTTTTTCGTCAATAGTTTTTTTTTGTTTGTGTTAACATCACTCATTAAATGATCCTCGATCAATAATTAAATTGATATTTTGATGCTTATTAATAATATTGTAATCACAAACAGTTTTGTAGTCTAAAATATAAAATTTGACTACTGTCTCATTTCGAAAAGTGGAAAAATGTGTGATCATAATATTATTCCAATCCCTCGGCACAAATTTGTTGCAACATTTGAGTCTATAAAATGCATTTTTGATCATTAATATATTTCATTACATAGTGATTACAATGTGAAATTATTGAAAAGTTGAAAATATTATTGATATAAATATAATTAGATTGATTTCATTTTTTTTATATATATATATATATTGACATATTTGTTACGGAGTAAAAACTATGGTCAAAATATAAAAAACAACATTAAAAGGTCAATATGACTAAAGTATAAAAAGTACTCTGATAACTCTCTTTTTTTTTTTTTTTTTTTTTTTTGAAAAAAAAAACTTAGATGGAAAAGAAAAAATTATTTAAATACGTTAATATTGTTTTTTTGAGAAAAAAATACATTAATATTGTTAAATACAAGTACTTAATAGTATAATTGGATCCATGTAGTGATGTGGAGTTGTAGATGAAGATGTACTCCGTATAAATATAAGTAATTAAGAACGGAAGAACCGATAAAGTACATTTTTTGTGGCATATATGTAGTACTTTAAATAAATAAAATAAATTATATCTTCAATTGCATGTACATCAAAATAAACATAACTAAGCTTAATTACCAATAAGCATCACTAAGCTAGTATGCTACTTGATAGTATATGCATTAGTAGGGGTTACTGATGTTTAATGGTGTTATTATTAATTATGTTACACCATATATAAAGTGAGTGTGTTGCATCACATAGAATTATAGAAGAGTGGAAGACTGAATCTTTTATGATACTATCATAAGACATAATAAATCCTCTTTTACCACTCAAGATAGTGGAGATATCCAATCAAATCAAAATCTACCATAAATCATTTTACTATGACATTATTTTTTTTTGTTATGATAATTAGAATCATGTAACTCAAATGCCAAGCTAGTACTCATTTCGGTTACGTTAGTTCTTACCTATATACGAATATATATCTTTGGTTTCCTAAGTTCTCCTCTCTAATTGGATCTCCATTAATCAAAGAGAATGTATAATATGGACCACTCATATACCTTTTGGGTCACAAGTCTCACAACTAATTAAGCAGGGAGAAAAAGATAAACCGAGTCTTATGTTACAGGCGAATAATATTAAAACGGTACATGACTATATGAGTTAAGTCAAAGGAAAACATTGTCCTAATAAAAAGTAAATAATACGAGTAATATGTACATAGTCAATCCCCGTCATCCATTCTTATTTCATGGAAGACGCCTCCCAACAACTTCTTCAAGCTCAACTTCGACGGGTCGGTTCGTAACAACTCAACAGCAACGGGAATCATTATCAGAGACAACATCGGAACACTCATCAAGGCATCGACGTTCAACCTCGACAACGCCAAAGTAATTATAGCGGAAGCTACATCTCTTCATAAAGGAGTCCAATTAGCTCTTCAATGCAGTATTCAGGACATTAAAATTGAAGGTGATAACCTATTAGTCATCAAGTCAATAAAAGGCATTTGGGCAGTACCTTGGCAGATCGAGCATATTATCGAATATACTCGTTCTCTCCTTTCTCAATTTCACAATTGGAGTATCCAGCACGTATATCGAGAGACAAATCGTGTAGCGGATTGGATAGCTAATGTAGGCCATTTAGTATGTAGTAGTATGGATTTTGATGTTTGTAATAGCTTTAGTTTGTTTTCTATTCTTTCTTCTGATACATTATTAGGAATTCCCCTCGTGAGGAGGGCTTTGTAATGTTTAATTTTTCTTACCTTTCAAAAAAAAAAAAAGAGTTAATTAAGTAAACAACTCAATTACATACTACTAAAGGCGAAACTTAGAGGGACACTTGTCAGCATATTATTAAAAGTTTTCCCTCCAAAATTACTAGCTTAATATATTAAAAATTTATTGTTACATAAAATGAAGGTTTGTACAATTGTCCTAAATTATGACTTCTATTTTGTACAAAATCTAAAATAAACTTCCTTAAATATCAAATAACCCATTATAAATATTACATGTGTTAAATTATATTCTTTTGCATATTTCTAATTTTACAAAAATATTTCATACTTTTTAATATTTGGTGAATCTATTCATAATTTTTATGTATCATCATTTTTGATCAATTTTATTGTCGTTATAAATATTTAGCAACTGTGTATTGCACGGGGTTTAATTCAATAAACTATAAAACAAAAATAATTAATAAGTTAGAAAGTAAAAATTGAACTCACATTCCATATCCTCCTAGTAAATGCCTATCCTTTAAAAAAATAAATTAAACTTTATTATTTTTATAAAAAAAAAGAATATTCTAAAAAAAACAGGTGATATCTCAGGAGAGAGAAAAATAAAAAAAAGAGAAGGAAAGAATTCCGCGTAGACAGATGAGGTAATTAGACTTCTTTGATAGAGACATCTACAAGTATATTCATTCATTCATTAACTCCAAAAAAAAATAAAATTAAAAACATTCAACTATTTTTTATAACACCTTTCTCTCCCCTCTTTCTCTTCTCTCTCAAAATTCTTTGTGATATTCTCTCTTATGAACATGAATCGCCCTCCTTACAAACCCGTACACAATAATATCATCTCATCAATCTCTTAATTAAATTCTTTCACACTTATATTACTTTTCCCACTTTACTAACTTCTTTCCGATACGATCCTTCAATAATTATATCTTTCCATTTCATATAAATATATCGTAATCTAAACCATCACCTCTTTTAAAATTTTCAATCCAATTTGAATTTTAATATCGAATTTTATATACGAAGTATGTAAATATATAGTTTTTCTTGTTTTATGTTTTTAGTTTGTACTCCGTAAATGGAAGGGCATATGCATCAACATCATCAACACCAGTATCATCATCAACAGCAACATCAGCAGCCGCCGCCGCAACAACAACAAATGAGTGGTACGGTGGGGGTGGATACAGGGGATAGATTCCCACAGTGGAGTGTTCAAGAAACAAAAGAGTTCTTAATTATTCGAGCAGATTTAGATCGAAATTTCATGGAAACTAAAAGGAACAAGCTTCTCTGGGAAGTTATCTCTACTAAAATGAGAGAAAAAGGTTTTAATCGTAGCGCTGAGCAGTGCAAGTGCAAATGGAAAAACCTCGTCACCCGTTACAAGGTTAGCTATTTCTATATCTATTTCGATCTCCCTTATCGTACCCCTTTTTAGGTAAAATACGGGTTCGTTCTCAGGTAATATTATTACAAATCAAGTTTTTATTAAAAATAGTTTATGTATATATGATCTCGAGATAAGAGCTCATACAAACTACAATAGTTTAAAGTTACCCGTACTATTTCACCTAGATAAACAATTGTATTATGAGAGTATTTTCTAGCTAGCTATATTAATTAGCTTCCTACAATTATTTTTTTGTTTGTTCAAAAAAAAAAAAAAACACAAAGCGCTTTGTTTGTTAAAAAAAAAAAAAACACAACGCGTTCTGTTTTCATGATTTAGGACAACTAATGTTTTTTTTTTTCAAAATAGTATGAGACAGTTTTACAATAACTTTTCTTATTTGTATGGATCGACATTAAGTGTAACAAATTAAAAGTGATTGGATTATTGGATATTAATTTTGATTTTAGTTTGTTTGAAATTATATTTGTTGAGGGAAGCTTAGGGGTGTGAGACAATGGAACCGGAGGTGATGAGGCAACAATTCCCATTCTACAACGAGATGCAAGCGATTTTTACGGCGAGGATGCAGAGGATGCTGTGGGCGGAGGAAGAAGGCGGACCAGGCACATCGTCTACGACAACGAAGAAGAACAAGCTAGCTCAAGGCCAAGGCATGACATCGGAGGAGGAGGAGGATGAAGATACAGACGGAGAAAAAGGCGGTCTTAAGAAGAAAGCGAGCAAGAAGGCGAAAACAATGGCTAGTAGTGGTGGTGTTGGTGCTAATGTTAGTAGTATAATTACGAATACTAATAATAGTATTAACGCGGTGAAGGAGATGTTGGAGGATTTTATGAAGCAGCAGTTGCAAATGGAGGTGCAATGGAGGGAGGCGTACGAGGAGAGGGAGGAGGAGAGGAGGAGGGCGGAGATGGAGTGGAGGCAGAGAATGGAGGCATTGGAGAATGAGAGGTTGGTAATGGAGAGGAGGTGGAGAGAGAGAGAAGAGCAGAGGAAAATGAGGGAGGAAGCTAGGGCTGAAAAGAGGGATGCTCTTATTACTACTCTTTTAAATAAGCTCCGAAGAGAAGATTAACTGATACGCTCGTGAACAACTCGTGAACAAGCTTGTGAATTGTGCTCATGTAAATGTACTCAAATTTGCATGGTTTTATTCTTCTTCAAATGTTGTAGCTTAGCTAGATCATGCAATAACAGGTTAGTTTTCTCAATTTTCACAAGAAATTTCTTTCTTTTAGTTTTTCAAGTCGTTTATTTTACTTAGGTAGTTCTACTGGGAGGAAAATAGCTAAGTTGAGCTAGCTAGCTAAATGTTTAAATTTCATATTTATTTATATGATATGAATTTTCTTAATTATATTGCAATTCAATTCATTTGTCTCTACTAGTCTACTTGAGACTTGAGTACTTTTTATTTCATTGGGTACTAATCCCGGCCCCTAACAAATATTTAGGGTACGTAATTATCAATTATTAGCTAAGTAGCCATTATGATGAAAGTAATGTAAATATTAAACTATTGCTTTAATAAGTTCAAATAATCGATGAATTCGGTGGTTTTGGTAGCGTTTTGCTATATTGAAGATTTTCATATTATATAGTGTGTGCATGCATGTATGTCTGATGTTTATACTAGCTTAACAAATTTTATCATAGAGTAATAGAGTTCATACTCAGCTCCTTGATTTATAGTGTATGCATGTGGATATATGGACTGGTATACAGAATTGGCATGTTATTTATTGGAGAGTGGAGATTTTCATGTGTGTGTGAACTTACATTATGGCAATAAAGGAAATTAACACAAATTTGATGCATTAGTTGCGCCACTACATAATAATATAAGTATCATTTTCTACCCTTAAAGCCGAGGGTTCAATCGATATTCACTAGAGGCACTTTGAGGATGGCTTGGGAATCTCTTACTCTTCCTTGGCCCCTTACTTTTAAAGTGTTTAACCTGTAAATACTGAACTAAATAAAACAATAAAAGTTGAAGTTGGTATTGTTAGGGTCCTTCTCTTTACCTTAAAAAAAGTATTACTACATACAATTCACATTCTAATCTATCATTTAGAAAATAGTTTGTACTTATTATAAAATTGCGAAATAATTACAAGCTTTACTAGGTTAGCTGAGTGTATTTTATTATTGATAATAAAATTTACTTATAAACCGAAAATAATAGACATACACGGGCAGGACTTGTAAAATGCTCCATCCATACCATCCTTTAGCTTTTCTTTCACAATTGGTTTAACACAAATATTAAAGCTAATTAAGGAAAAAAGAAAGCATTAAAGCTAGATTATAGTTGTAGCATATTGTCATTTTATTTATTTATTTATTTTTAATATGATGCATATACTTTTGTTATGGGGAGGTCTACTATGTCATTTTTTAAAAAATGACACCATAACATAATGATGTGTGTAATGTTATAATTGGTCAATTTTGAATTAGTTTTTAAAAGCCTAAATATACCATACATATATGTGTAATTGTAAATTTATGTATTTTTATACAAAATACATAATTATAGTTTTTTAAAAAATCATTTCCACAAAGTAAAATAGAATTAAAATTCTAAAAATCAAATGTTTATTTTTCTTCAATTGTGTTCATCATCGTGTATAGGTAATTTTTTTTAATGATCTCTCTCCTGGGCAATTAGGTTCCGGCGACTTTTCTGGTGGACGTAGGTCCGGTGAAGGTTCACGGCGGCGGCTCAAGGTTCTGGCGAATTTTCAAGCGGTTTCAAGTGTATTTTGGGTGCGTTTTTGGTGCAATTTGGTGCTTTTTTAGGGGTCTTTCTTGGTGGGTTTCTTGATTAGTTTTGGGGTGCGTTTCTGGTGCGGTTTCCAGGCGACATCATAGGCTTTCCGGCGTGGCAGTTCTTGGACTGTTTGGCGACGATTTTAGGATCGGTTTTGGTCAATTTCAGGAAGGTTTCAGGCGAGTTTCTTGGGAAGGATTTGTTCAGTTTTCTGGCGGTTTTCAGGCAATGTTTTTTTTTACCGTCGTTCTTCTTCTCTGGCAGCAAGTCCGTGATCCTGATTTTTAATTATAAGTATATTTTCGAAAATTTATTAATATTATAAAAATAAATTTTCATAATTTATAATTAGTAGTACGTATTTCTCAAAAAAATAGACGTATCAAAAAGAATACATAATATAAATACATTTTTAATACATTATAGACATTAAAAATAATTCAAAATGAAAATCAAAATACTAAATACGGGCCATGTCATTATATTGTGGTGCCTTTTTTAAAGAATGACATTGTAGAATTTTCATGTGTTATATAGTGCGTATGTATGATTGTTGAAACATTCTAAAGATGGATGTTTACTCTCTAATAATATTAAGAGCATTGCATGCTCTTTTCATCTAAAGTAAGATGTTTAAGGTGTTCTGGTTAATATATTGGTCAAATTAAATTTAAATATAATCCATCATATTTTTACACTAATGTATAATAAGAACATACATCATCAAGTATTTGTTCAATTATCTTATGAGTAAATATGTAATTTAATACGAAGTATATATATTTTTCAATTAATGCTCAACTTAAGATATTTAGTATTTTATAATAAATGAGCAAAATGTTAAGTTTTCGTGTGATTTGATTTAGGGATATATGGTTTAACATGATCTAGTCTAATTCTAATAGCAATAAGTCATAACTCATTTGGTAATTTGAAGTAAGTTTTTGAGTTATTAGAATTCTCGACAATGCTTCCTATGTGTATGTACAAAATCTATATCAAGCTAGGGGTCCATAGTTCTTAATTTTTTTTTTTTTTTTTTTGAATAAAGTTCTTAATTTATTATATATGAATGAAATGGTCAAATTTCAACAAAATTAAAGATTAAATACTAACAAAAAATTACTCAAATAGGAGTAAACAAGAGATTTCCTAGTGCTCTAACATATCGACTACAAATAGTATGGAATCTCTGACAGTTGCAAACTACGAGCGCAGTTGTGTTTGTAAGAATTTAACCTTTTTAGATTTTAAATTAATTCATCTGTACCAAGCTCACGCGTTGAGTTTTAGCAAAGTTTTGACTTAACCCTTAAGTTTTCCCACTAGTAAAGGAACAAGCTCATTGATCATGTTCTCACCTATTAGCATTGTTACTGAGCTTGTTCTCACCTAGCTCATTGACACGATTAGTTCTTATTGAGCTCTCAATTTGCTCTGATATCTATCTAAATGTTCGTGTATTTTCTTTCTAATAAATAATCTATCTATTTCAAAATAAAAAGGTTGAAGGCCGTCTCAAAAAGGATCTATGATCAAGCTTGCATTATTATGAAGGTAATGCAAATGATGACTAATTGCCTATCATTTTATGATTGCACGCAGATCATGCAAGCTAGTTGGTTATCATATTTTTCATCCATCTGCTAGTTTTTGTAATTATGTTATATATTCACTACTGATTTATATATGCTCATTTATATATACAGGGAAGTATTAGATCTTAATAATACATCATGTCAAATTGTCAAGTATGTGTCATAAGAGTGAAATAAATATGCCGTTTAATTTAGGAGGAACTCTCACTTAATCGTAAGTTAGTTAGCTAAGGGCACAGGGCAATCCCAATAATTAAAGAAGAATCGTGTATTGAAATATGAGATTTAATTCAAGTGTTGTTATAAAATGTCTTGGATATGTTTGCTCTCACAGGGTTTTTGCCTACTCGGCACGTAGCTTACATTGTTACTTTTTTTGTTTTTTGTTTTTTTGAAGGGAGCTTAACATTGTTACTAAAACCACGTAAACTTGCGTTTTTTTGTTTTTATTTATTTATTTTCACTCTTCGTCAATATTTTTTGCATCTGTATCCTAGCTAGCTAACTTGTATTATAATTTTTTTTTCACTAAACGCCTACACCAATTAGTGTAAACAACTTCATCATCATGCGATAATATCACAAGTATACAACTAGATGCATTTAGTAACATACTCCGTATTATCTCGTGGTGCACAATATACATGATACACACGTACAATATGATCAATATATAGTATAGAATTAAAAATTAAGATTATACGAAAAGTTCAAAAGGAGCATGAAATGAATAAAACTTTCGATTGCACTAGAATTTTTTACACAAGATTACACAACCATGTTACTTAATTAGTTTGGCTGTTCACTTCAACTTCTTGATGTGCAAGTAAAAACTTCCTGTCCTTTGGATTATTCCTTTTTCTAGTAGTATATAAGCGTGTCAATTCACACGGCTTGACCGTGTCGTCATCTAGAAATCTGTACTTTATTATTCATAAGAGAGTACGAGTACATACTCCGTAATATTTTTAGGCGAACGTAATAATTGACTCACCTTTTACAATAAACTATACTTTGTATAATCCATCATATTACGTGCTCATCTTTCCTAAAGACGAAGTATTATTCATAAATCACTTTTTCTTCTTTTAATCAATAACTATATACTAAAAGACACACCAGTAATGACACGTGTCATTTTCTGGTGTGTCCTTTAGTTTTTTTTTTTTTAAAAAAAAATACATATAGGAAACAAATCTTAAACAAAAATAAAGTATAACAAATTTATACATAAATAAAAGATTTGATGTATCCTAGACAATTATATTTGAATATTTTTATATAATACAGTGTATGAGAAGTTCCAAGAAAATAATATGAATATTAAAAATTACTTAAAATTAAAGATTTGATATATCCTTCCACAAAATATATTAACAATTACGGAGTATAAATTTAAGGAAAAAAAATCGGATTCTTAAATGACATATTGAGTGTAATGTACTACGTTTATTACAACACCAATTTACTTTAAAAAAAAAATAAAATAGAAATCTATTTACGGATTAAATACGTATTACATAATTTTAAGAAATTCATTTGGTTAATAAGAAAAAAAAAATACAATTTGTTGGTGAAATATACAAAAATATATAGATATAGTCAAATGCTATTTAAATACCTATCTGACTAAGAGGCTCTTTCATATAAATTCATTATAATATTATAGATAAATTTATGTTTTTTTTAATTAAAGGTAGTTTTAATTTAAGAAAAATTATTTAAGATTACCGTGCATGGCACGAGACCTAACCTAGTTGATACATAAAGCACATTATACTTGCTAAATGCTAATATCAATAATGTATTCACTTCATTTTGCATAGATATACATTACGAATTAGGTGATTGACAAGTCAAGTTTATATCGTACTTCCTCCGTTTCTTTCTTTCTATTTGTAACATTTTGACGTTTACATTATTCACATATTTCACTTTGAGTGACTTTAGTGATTTATAGTTAAGAAAAACATATTTATGTGAGATTTTGTTAAATTCTTGTCCATTCATGCTTTCATATTATTATTATTATTATTATTATTATTATTATTATTATTATTATTATTATTATTATTATTATTATTATTATTATTATTATTATTATTATTATTATTATTATTATTATTATTATTATTATTATTATTATTATTATTATTATTATTATTATTATTATTATTTACTTAGCGTGAAATGAAAAGTTTTATAACTGAAAAGAAACAGAGGAGGTCAGGTGCATAAGATGATAACTTAATTTTTATCGAAGATTATATATAAGATAATACTTTTGTATTTTAGGGAACCCACCCGGTTCACAGATCTTTGCTCCAATAACGCCCGAATCTGACCTGTGTTACACACCGTCTTGACTTATGGTAGATGCATCTTTCAACAAGCTAAGAGTTTCTGCATATTGACGCTCAAACCCTAGATTAATTTATTAGAGTAGATTGAATGATACCACGTGTCTGAACATAATTCAAATTTGTTTGTGGTAAACATTGAAAATTTAAGAGTATAAGATGAGGAAGCAAAAATCAAATGAGATAATCAGATAACCTTATTGCCTACACAAAAGTAGAAGCCACGTGGTCCTTATTCATCCAATTTAAACAAAGATCAAAAGAAATAATTATGCTTTCTGTAAGGATAAATTACCTTGTACATATGATGAAGTTTCAAAGACGTGAAGTATTTATACCGAGAACGAATTTGAAAGATAACATTAACCTACTTTATTGTTATAATGTACTTTTTTCGTCTCAATTTACATACTTTATATATGATTCAAATAATTCTCAATTTTCTCATCTCAATTTACGTACCTAGTTTATATGATTCAAATAATTCTCATAAAAAATAACTAATAGAGGCCGGCAAATAAAATGAAAGGGGGAATACATTCCAACACTTTTGCAAAAGTGGTAATATTGTTTCAATTTATTATGAGATTATATATGTAATATGAGTATGACTTTTTCTTTATCTGTAATGTCTGTCAAAAGAGGGAGTATGCCATTCATCAATTACTAGTAGCAGCCAAAGCAGAGTAGTAACTAGCACGTAAAGGCTATTATGGGAATTTCATCCAGCTAACTTTTAGTAGAAGCTGTCTATAGTAGGAGGTATGTAAGGAATTTGTTAATATCTGACTTTGTTATGTCTAAGATCGAGTCTAATAGCTTAATTGTTTGACAGTACACTACATATGCTTAGTAATAAAAGACTTGCGCTAATGTCTATGAGGATGTTTAACTTGGGTTGGGTTTGTTGATGTGTGCGAGATTCTAATTTGATAGAATGATTTCTTCTTACCTATAAAAATATGTCTATAATGTGATCCGTAAGATGTAACTGTATAACTGTATAAGTGTTTCACTGTTTTGTAATCATGTATGTTAGGATAATAACACTTATGTTAGTAATTATATTATGTGTACAACTACTACGTGTATCAGTTATTATTAATCTGTAAACAAGTCAATATTGAACAATGTTATCAAACGAAGATAACGAAGATGACTTAGATAGAGAGAGTTATAATGATATTACCAAATTGTATTTCACGACACACCCCTTTTTCAAGCCTTGATAATGTTGGTCTTACACTCTTACCTTTAATCTTGAATTAATGTACAATCATACCTAATATTTTACATAATAATATTAGAATCCTGCATATTTAGTTTTTAATTGTGAGACTTTTATGGGATCCTTACCTGACAAACCGCCGACTTGACTAGTCATAAACTAACTTCCCTAAACTTTGCCAGATTGTTTGACTAGTGTTTGATTATCATTGTATAATCAACATATACCTTTGACTACTTTGAGACCCTAAAAATTATTACATCTATAATTATTCAGCTTAATGTAAAGTAATTAATTGACCACTTTCGCCCAACAGTTTAATCAGTCATTATTGATTATCATTACACAATCCATTGACTATAAAGAATGTTATGTGTTAGAGATATATTTCATTTTTAGGGCGTAAGGATCGTGTGTGTGTATATATATATATATATATATATATATATATATATAATATATAT